ATGACCGAGCTTAATTATCGATATGAAGCGCATTTTTCTCTCCATCATTATTAATCAAATGACTATCATCTTGGCGAGAGAATTATTGTTTACCACACAAAACAAGTCAGATTTAACTCTGCCCGGGTTTTCATTGAGTCGTGTGTTTTTCGATGAGTGATTAATAGGTTCCTCTCCCCGTGATCTGTGAACCAAGATAAACAATATTGTTGAACGCATTCTTGATTTTTAGTCTTTTTCAGTTAAATGATGTTGGTTTTCGTTGAATGATCACTACCAACATGATCAATAAGAGTACTACCGGACTTAATACCTCGTTTTTTTTTGTTATTACAAGTATGTTTCCCCTCTGTCGACAATCTTTGCGTAGCAACTAACTAATCGGTACTCTAGACAGAGGATATGACTCAATCGATATTTTGAATCCTATTGAATTGATATTGATTTTTAAATAAATAGGAGCAAACTCTATCAGTGTACGTCAGACTACCATGCTATTTAAATCAATTATAGGCCTATTTTTATTTCATGAAAGACGTTTACTTTGCAACGACCATTACGAAGTTTACTCCCATCTTATATTTTCTCTTTGGTTCACTATTTTGCATAATTTTCTTTGGTTTTAATACAGCTTTGTTGTTCATGCACATACTTCTCCTGTTCTTCTTTCTTCTTCTTGTTCTTATTAATCTTCTTGTTATTTTTTATCTTTCTTCAAATTCTTTGAGTCTACTTAGTTGCCGATCCTGGACTTAGTTCTATTCCTCCTGTCCCTTATAAAGTTTTCGTTTAAACTTCTTATCCCCAATGTCCTTTTCCCGGATTATATTCCTCTAAATATTCCTAATCCTGCACTACGAGAGCCAGTTGAATGATACAATCAATAATCATGATAGCCCTCACATGAATGTCCTTATTCTATAGTCGATTCCTTCTTAGCGCTTCAATCTTGTCATTAATAAAGTCCGTATTTTCATTCCCTACTCCTGCGGTTGGCTTTTCCCACGATCTAACGTCAAGCATAATTCCAATTTAACAAGTTTTACAGTAAGTAACCCTCTTGCATAATATTCAACAACAACAAAAGAGAGAAAATCTAATCAACTTGGCGAATACACATCCAAAGGGCCGGAAAGCAAGGCCAGCGATCACATTACTTACTAATGCATTATAAGATTATCCGGTAATGACTGAACAGTCATTAAAGGCAATGTACATTTGGGAGGAGACGTTACTTTGTCTAAAACATCTGAACATAATTATTCTCCATTTGCCTATTCAGATATTTAGAGAGTTTCGTGTAAAAAGGAATGTAGCAATTATTGTTACTATGTTATACTCCCCCTTTTGGGAGGAGGAGGAGGGGGGGGGGGGGGGGGGGGGGGGGGGGGGGGGGGGGTTCTATTATAACGCACCAACAATGGAGAATATCTAAACAATTAAACAAGTATAAATTTGCAACCCCCAGGTTATGGAGTCGTGATCAGTCTCTTGCCGGGGAAGTTGTCGATCGTGCTAGCAATCCTTATATAGGTTTTATGAACCACCAGCTAGTGGACAAGCTGTCTTGGCGTTTACAGATTACCACTTCTCCTTCATAATAGTAATTACCATGTCAACCGTGAAAATTGTCTTACTTTGGCGCCATGTATGAATCGCTCTGATAATCGTCTTGATTATCAAAACAATTATTTTAAAAGGAGAATGCATACATACGGAGCAAAGGTTAAAATGAATATGAAAGGGAATTAGGCCTAAAGCCCCAGTCCCATATAAAGCCGGACCAGCACGGATGAGCACGGACCACTCCGGACCATCCCGGACCATGGTCTGGGGTGATCCGGGATGGTCCGGGATGTTTTGTTCAAAAAAGTGTGATGCTTTAAAAGCTACAGTCCCATGTACGTCCCGGACCGTCCCGGACCATCCCGGACCCCATCCGGGGTGATCCGGGATTCGGTCCGTGTTGACACCGTGTTGGCACCGGGGTGGTCCTGGATGGTCCTGGATGGTCCTGGGCGGTCAATAACTCACTCCCGGACTGCCACGGATCAACACGGACCGCCCCGGCGCCACTACGGTTGACCCCGGACCCAGCACGGTGGCTACACGGATCACCCCGGATCAAACTATTGTCCCGGACCGTCCCGGACCACCCCGGCAGTTTTTGACCGTCAAAAACATCCGGGGTCGACTCCCGGACCGCCCAGGACCATCCAGGACCATCCAGGACCATCCAGGACCATCCAGGACCACCCCGGTGCCAACACGGTGTCAACACGGACCGAATCCCGGATCACCCCGGATGGGGTCCGGGACGGTCCGGGACGGTCCGGGACGTAGATGGGACTGTAGCTTAAGTTGTGCACACGGTACTACAAAATTGCGAAGGTTTCGTAATCTACACATCAAAGGCACCACTCGACTCACGACTATATGTTACGGAGATTCAATGGATGGGCAATAATCACCTCATTATATTAGGTAACAGTGTTCTATTCAAGCTAATGCACTCCCCACCCACCCACACACACCTCTCCCCTCCCTGCCCGATCATAAAAATGAATTTAAAAAATATGCTGTTGTGATTATTTTGTTATGCAGTGCCATCTGGGCTGAAATAAATTTTTAAAATTGCTGATTTGAGAATGTTGATATGTGCTTTAAAACACATTTCACATTACAAACGACCTCATGTGGTGCTTTCGCTCTTAGCGAACGTTTAGTAACAATATCCAATCTCTCAGCCTTTACTTCTGCGTGTGAAGGTCCTGACAATCATAACGGTCAACCGTGAGTACCTCACTAGTCATAAACACGTGTGAACATCCAATAATTAAATTGCGCAATGTTACGTAATCATGTGTGCTAACATGGATTAAATTAGACCGTTATGTGTACTTTGCTCCGGGAAAGTCGATGGTGAATCCACCCGTAAGGATATATTGCAAAAAAAAAACAACAAAATATTGCAAGGATGATTCCTGAACTGTTTGATCGTGGCAGTTATTCCAATATAAACCGATTTGTACCTTTTTGATTGGTACGACTTATTATTTGACCACAGGTTTAACCTGAAATTCTTGTCAAAATCTAGCAAAGCGTTTTCATTATGTCATTGATGTTTCGTGATATAAATCGCGAGCGTACATTGACTTTACTTAATTATAAAACTTTAATTTGTGCTGAAACTTATTTGCACTAGTTTGGCAAGGAGGGATTAGACCTCCCTGCGTGGTCACTGACGGGTGGTTATCTCATTAAATCAGCTCTCAATTGACATAAGAAAAAAAGGACCATGGGTCCGGCTTAGGCATTGTTTGCTATATAGAGGGCGCAAGTAGCTACAAATAGTGCAGTACTGCTTTAATATTTACCATAAAGTGATAAAAGGCTTAGAATGCAGGTTTTATATATCATAAGACATTCACAACGTCCAGTGCATTTTACTTTCGAATAGAAAAATATGAGCCAAAAGTTACTCACATCCCTGATTAAGCATATATAATATTTATATTTCTCGAACTCCTTTAAATAATTCACAATATTTATATCTGTCCGTGTTAAAGGGATCCGGTAACTTTCTCTCAAATTCTGAAACAAAATTCTGGATTTAGCTCATGATGCAATGAAAATTATAAACCTTTAGGTCAGTCAGGAACCCCATGACTTTTACAAGCCGATCGCCTGTCTGATTATCAAGTTATTTATGATTGGAATTACAAATTTTGAAAACCGTTCGCCTGACGGTTTTCATGACACTACAGTCTATTGGGGGAAACGAGTATGGTAAAACCGGTCACTCAAAGAATTTTACTTTTTTGACGCACTTCTTGATCATTTTGAAGCGCAATTTTTTTAAGGCTTCAATATTACACCATATCACAGACACTGATAACACATAGGGCCGTGTATCTCAGATTTAACATTGTTAAACGATCTCTTTAAAAAGAAGGCATGCAATGTGAAACTTGTGCATTCTTTATACCCGGGACACCTGCAGATACAATTTTCTGTATTTGAGAATGATATTTATTTTTTCTCCAAAGAAGACTTATTTTTAAAATCTATCATATGCGATATCATGCTCCATTGTTACGCGGTATACGCTAGAAAATCAAACTAGTACCGTACGTCTCCAACTTTCAGTAAAATAATGAAAATAAACAAAAAAGTTTATAAAATATTCTGCTGCACGGGCTTAATGGTAAGCCTATTAAATGAAAGCGTTGCGCAACAACATTCTAAGAATTTGAAAATAGACTGTTAGAGGAACAAATGCATATAAACCTGATAGAATGCTACGTTCCAGTTCCAACTATCTGCTTTGTGTTCCACAAACCATGCCATACGGGGAAAGGTCTTTGTCATATACAGCCGCTTTTGTGTGGAACAAGTTGCCTGAACAACTGGAAAGTATAGGATCCTATAAAACTGTAATCAATTCTCTGAAGACATACAGTATCTCTTCATCACCACTAAATTATCAGAATCATGAACCCAGTACATTGTTTTTTTCTTAAAGCGCACCGAGACATACAATTTAGCCTCTGTGTTATGCACTATATAAAGATTTGTCATTGTTATCATTATTATTATCTAATCTAATGGAGTTGTAAACACTTCAAGTCTTACTCGCGAGGCTCCTGTTAAATACTCACCATTTCATACAGTGTCTATCAATGACAATTTCTTGTTATAATACGTTTTGGGGTGTTGAACTCAAAACATCTGAATCATAAACGGTTGGACCGGGGAAGCACCTGAAAATGTGATTACAAAAAAAAGCTTCTGAGAAACTTTTCCTACTCGATCCCCTGCCCCAACCTCCGCAAGAGAATCCATGACCCGTCACATTAATGTGTGTTCCACGTGGGTAACGAGTCAATTTAGATAATAATGGTGTCAAGCCTTGCGAAGGCAGTCAAGATTTCTCTCCGCTTGCATGTGATCAGATCAGACCCATTGATGACAATCCCTTATTTTGTATTTTCTACCAGAATCTGCGTGTGTGTACCTCCAAGGCACTTTATCATGTCTGGATTTCAACTGCAGCATGTCGTGGGATGCCGTTGCTAACACCGAACCAGGTAGTCAGGTGATCTACTCGCTCCACTATGCTAAAAAGTAAGTTCAAGTAACATCCTCACTGACATTCCCAAGTTCCTGTACTATGGTCTTGCATTGGGTTGGATTTTCTTGTACGATAATTTAAGACATGAAATAATAAGGGAAACAAGGTTAGACAAAACAGGGGGGGGGGGGGGGGGGACGTAAAACATTCAATGAATGACGGTCCACAAGGGGTATAAAGTGGTATAGGCCTACCATTGAATGATAAGGCTCTTTAATAGATTGAACGATCCATAGATTACAAACAGCTTAAATTGACTAAATTTCGATCAGGAAAAAAAATATAACGATGATAATAATTTTTCCTACATCGACATGTTCTAAATTATATTCTATAACAAATTGAGCAGGAGTAACGGTGTACTTCCACGATACTGTCGTTAATAAAGAGGTGCTATTTCATTAGAGGTAAAGGTCTGCCATTCTTAGATGAAACTTTGACCGTCGATCTCTGTTTGTAATCAGATTCACTGCTCATGACGTTGTACAGCATTGGGAGCCGATAGAAGAATGTGCCAACGTGTCCACTACTTCCTGTAGCGTGAGGGCGCTGTTCAAAGACGATGATGATTTCAGAGGATTCAAAAGATTCCGTATTGACTATATCACTAATGGCACGGAGAAGTGTCGAGGCAGAAAATTTCAAAGAGATCCACTCAAATCAGGTAGAAATGATGTACAGTTTATTTATAGAACAATTAACCTATCAGACGTATTCATGAGGGGCGATCCTTTGGCTTAGGCCTAAAATAAAAACTTGTTGCATTGCCCTTTGGGTGCCAAAACATGGGTCGGTCGGTCGGAAAAGTTTTTTTTATTTTTAACTTTTTTTTTGTCGCTGGGCCGATATTTTTCAGATTTGAATTTTTTTCCCCACCCTCTTTTGACTGACATTTCTCAGTTTTTAATGCATTAATACATGTCTTTCAACGTCATCATTCCATTGATATCTTTTTCACCTCATAATTATCCATGGTTTGCACCAGTGAGAATTTTGGAATAATTTGATTTTATGCAATTATATCCCATTTAAACAAACAAAATACATATTTTGTTATTCATTAAATTAAAAAAAATGTAAAAAACGTTTACAAAAAAAAACTTTTTTAAAATGCCGACCGTAGATTTTCAGATTTTTGGGTCGGTCGCAAAGGGCAATGCAACAAGTTTTTATTTTAGGCCTTATTTCATTCTCATGTACACAGAGAATAAGAGGTACAAGATCAAAATAAATCTTTATCTTATAGTTCATTAAATCATCAGCTAATGTTTGAGAATCAGGGGAACATAACACAGCTTCAAGCAAAATTGAAATAAAACATCACAAAAGAGTATTTCTATTTATTTTGTGCCAGTTTTCCAATCACTATCTAAACTTCATTGTAATGTTTACTTGGTGTATTCGAACAAGGACATTTAGAATTTGTATATCTATGTCTGACTCTGACATATATACTATGTATATATTTTCAATATGTGATTCTCAATTGTTATTTAATACATGGTTATTTCACACTTTTTATTTTTGTTAAAGTAAACAGCCAGATGATGATTTTTTATGACACTTGTTGTTTGATTCTTATTCATGACCAATAAATTTAACTAAAATTGATTTTTTTTTTTTTAAACCAGTGATATTGAGTGCCCCGCCAATCACTCACATGGAGGTGACGTCTGAAGAGCTTTCTTTCCGACTGATATACCCAACGGACAACCACTATCCCGGGCTCGATCTACAGCTCCTCAGGCAATTCGTCAATCATAAATACCAAGTCAGCGTCAGGGAATTCGACACCAACATCACAATACGGGTATGTAAATCCATCATGAGTGGAGGAAGGGTTGGGATGGGGAGGGGGCGACAAAATGATTATGGTATTTTGGCGCCTTGCCTGAATACCCCCAAAAGAGCGGAGCGTTTGCACTATCATGGGCGGATCAGCAATTGAATCCAATAACCTGTGTAATAATAATAATTACAATTAAAAACACAACGAAACATGTATTTTTGCAAATGTGACTGTTATCAGTATTTTTTTGTTTTATTATATTTAATATTTTATTATAATTTACTCTGAAAATATTATCACATCTCATAATGGTAGTGAAAATTAATAACTGTCGAAGCTACGGGAGCGCAAAGGGCACATTCAACAAGTCGAGTAATATTATTGATAGCATGCCCTTGGCAAATGACTCACGCAACGCTTAAAGTCAAATGATACAAACATCAAGAGATCAATATAACTGCCTTTTCAGCAAAATGTTTAACTGTCAAAATATAGATTATAAATCAATCGCGTTTAGAAGGTGTTCCAAGCAGGAGAGGCCTGCTTAAAAAAGGATGTCCAGACAATTTTTCAAAGAAAGAAAAGGAAAATGAGCTTTGTCGTTTCCTGTGACAATTCACCAACATTGTGGCGTTCGGTTTACAATAATCTCAGGTGTGGGACTTCGGTTCAATTATCTCCGCGTTAATTTAGTCGTACGGCTTTTGAATTCTTAATGAATTCCATCCAAACGCTCTCTTTACACAAGATTAAAAGACTGAATTGGAATCATTAATGATGGGATTTGTTGTGCTTCACCTATTCTTTGTAGAACTACGCCATAAAGCACGATCTGTCTAGGATACAGAGGATATACGACCTTGTCCCTGCAACTCGTTACATCATCCGAGTAAGATCTGCCGTCTATCCCCCCACCGTCTGGGGTCCTGCTACATCCAAGGAGCTTGTACGAACACTCGAAAAACGTGAGTTTATTCTTTGTTAAGGTGAAATGATCAGTTTTTGTCCTTCTTACTGGTTTGATTTTATAAAGAGTTGAAGGCAAAACCTAATTACATTACTTGGGCGGATCTGTAGAGTGAGGGTCACGGGGCTCCGAATACCCTTTTCTATATAGTTGTTAGAGATTTATGTGTATTGGAAACCTGCATGTGTTTGCCTTGGACCCCCCCTTTTTTTTGCACGATATTACTTTTTTGAACTTTGCTTGTAAAGGAATGGGACCCCCCCCCCTTCACAAAAAATGCATTTGCCCCTATTTTTTTTTTACTAATTTCAAGGCGAGTCGTGTCTCCAAGAATGTTTTTTCTCCTGGCACGAACACGAATTCATGGGCATGAAAACCCTTTTTTGTTTTGTTTCAGGTGACCCTGTGACGGGGTGGGGGTAATACTATGATCGAGTTCGTTGACTTTGTTGAGTCGATTTTTCTAAATTGACTGCCAGTCTACAAGTTTAACATGTATAGATGGTGTATTAACAGTTTATTACCTTTTAATTACTATTTAAGATAATACCATGACTCTATACATGGACAAAGCTGTAATATTTAACATGTTACCGGTTTACTATATTTTTGCTTGTAATGTGCCTATTGATTGTTAATAAGTATGGCTAGGTGATACATTCGAACATAACATCAAACATCAAGAGATTATTGAGACCGAAAATATTAAGAGTTTTGATATATTTTTTGTTTCAACTTGCAAAAGGTACATCTTGTGTATTTCCAACGCTTCAGACGATAAATAAATTAACCTTTGCTGAAGGTTCTGAAGTCATTTGTTGTATAGAATATTGAGGTTCATATCATTTCAGGAAAATTAAACCCAAATACAATTACTCTAAAAGAAAGCAGAAAAATCAGAGAAGCAAACTGATGAAAGTATCAATTAAATCTGACTAAATATAAGAAAGTTATGAATGTTTGAATGTTGTAATCTTGGACACCTCAAATTGGCAGAAGCGGTATTACGTCGATTTAATGTAGTGCCGCACTACTTTCCAATTTGTTCCAACATATTGTATAAAATGTCTAAAATTTAATTTGTTCGAAATTTCATTGCTCAGGAGGGTCTTTTCCTTTTAGAGGACCTATAATAATATGCTATCTATAATATTTTTTTAGTAGCACCCCAAGGGAAGAGGGAACTTACGAGATATGTAAACGGCAAATGGGAGAGTTACAATCAACTGACCAAACCAACAATTTGAGATTCGCATAGACTTAGTGATCTCATATTTCAAACATTCATAACTTCCTTACTATTGGTCCGATTAATTTCAAACTTTTGCCATTCTGTTTCTGTTATTTCTCTGCTTATAAACAAATCAACTTATCACAAGGGTTGGATTGCCCTTTGGGATTAAATTTTGACCCCAAAGATAATTCAAGTTAAATTTCCCAGAAGTTTTCGAAGTAAAAACCCAATTATAAATAATGTTATTCTTTCTTTCTCTCTCTTGTCTTATGTTCAGCTCCGTCGATGGGACCAAGTGATCTGGAGCTCGTTGACAGTGATTTTTCATGCGCTGAACCTGACCAAAGAGGGATTGTGATTAAGTGGAAGGTATGTATCTTGAGTTCTTTTGATTAGAAAACAAAAATGCTTATAAAATCAAACGAATTTTATGTACATTAAATGTTCTAAAATAAAAATGATTGACATCTACCGAATCGGTAGAAAATGTATAAAACCCGTAATAAGCACAGCCAAATATGGAATTGAGCTAGTATAACCTACAAGTGCGTAACAAAAAGTGTTTTCGCTCCTCACTCTAGTGATTTATAGGAATTTGTATTAGTATTTCCATATCCTCTTAATTCATACAACCGTTGTTGATTCTGAATTGATCTGAGCCAGTGCTTTCCTTTGTGTCTCGAAATACAATTCCATATACCAGAGCTACAGATTAGCTTTAAAACAAATATTTCAATATCTATGAAATAAATTCAGAAGTTCACATATCAAAATAATTATGAGATGTATGCAGGACTGCACACCAACAGGAATACTCTTGTGTTTCGATGTCATGGGCCCTTTAACGTCGTTATTGAATATGGGTTAATTTTGTGTTTGCTAGTTGACCTCTTAAAAAACCTGTAAATATAGGGTCTTGCTGAAGCAGAATATATAAAATTATGTAAAATTGACATTTTATTGGTTAGTACGGATATGGAACCGTTTGATTTTTAAATAGCCTAAGTAGGTACCGCCTTGCAAATTGATCACTCAGTGATGTGTTAATTGCACTCTACGCGTGCGCAGGAGTAAAGGGGGTTACGACGGGTCACCACAGTGAGGACGTTGACTTTGTTTGAAGGCTTATAAGCCTGTCACAGAGCCAAACATCTTATAACTTTATTCATGAATTAAACGAGCTTCCTTGCTCTTCCAAAAATGGGTAGTCATCAATTTGTTCGGGATATGGAAAGTCTATTTTTGTAGGCATCGGAGTCTGACTGTTCTGTTGATTCAAAATGATGTGTGTAAAAAGATTAAATCTAATATTTAGTAAACGTATTCATGACTATATAATTACTGCAAACCTCCATTTCTGCGATGGATCAAAAATCGATTACATTTTGTATAATTCATATATCATATTAACCATAATTTTTAAAACATTTTTTTTCCCTCAAAGGCTGTAGATGAAGAGCATTGGAATGGAGATCTACTCTTCTACGAGGTGCGGGCTATACTATGGGAATCCCGAGATATCTTTATCAGCAGCACTATAAATACATCATCCACTACGGTGTCTTTGAAAGGTCTGAGTAGATGGGAAGATTACGATGTGGTGGTTTTTGCAAACAATTCTGCTGGAGGAACGAGGAACATCGTCCCTCTGCAGTTGAAAAGGCATATTGTCGGTAAGTATTATTTTACACCTTACACGACTATTCATATCAATTTATTTATATTCATTCACTCTATAGTGAACTACAAACCCCCATAAGAACGCTATGTTTTTATTGTTGTTCTTTTCTTTTTTTTCTTCTTATCAAAGGCGCGATTTCAATTTCGTAATATTGCCGATTGTTTACATCATAGGCGTAGATGATAATAAGGAATACAAACTTTTAGTTATACACATATTCAAATATTTATCAGTATACCAGGTGAGCTTATTATTATAATATTATTAGTCATTTTAATGATCCTCTTAGACATAATTGAGTTTCAGCACTGTGTCTTTTTCTAATTTCTAAAATCAGACGAGCGAGGATCTCAACCCCGCTTAGTCTCCGTCTCTGCAGACCAAGATGATAAGACCGTCATAGAGTGGCAGCCTCCTACGCACTACCCAGACTGCATCATGGGATATCGTATCACGTGGACTGATGACCAGGAAAGGGAATATCACGTGATCGAATCGGAGAACACCTGGTTGGATGTTGAAGGTCACGTGATGAAAGTTCAAGTGACGCCATTATTGAGGAAGGATTATGGGATGAACCAGAACGGAATAGCTCTGATTTATTCAAACGATATCCATCAAAGCGGTAGGTATAATAATAGGGATCTGTTGCTGAGGATCTTCAAATATGCTTTTAAGTGAAATAAAAACAAATGCAGATCCTTTGGGATGTCGCATTTTCTGCTTTAAATGGACGCATTAAATTTATTAATTTCAATCATCTACTTCTAATTTTCTATGACGATATTCTGCATGATCAAAATTAGTGAGGACGTATTGCTAATAATGGATTGAACTTATATGTGCTCATTTTCAGTGGGTGCTTGTTGGTGCGTTAAAAATATCATACAAGTAAAGATTAAGCCAAATGAGACCGAAATGACCCGTAGTCATTTTGGGCAGAACGATGCCAAATAGCACAACGACAGACTAGTTATGACTATGAAATTCTAAGACAATTATAAAGATTCAAGTGGAGGTCTAGTGCTTTAGACAATTTTGCAAAACGTTTAAGATTCAGAGCTAAACGGGGTAGAAGACCAGTACTATAAATAGCAACAATAATGTAATTTGTTTGTGATTATTGATCAAAATTGCTTTTTTTATTTTACTTCCAGGTTCTGGTTTCAATCTATGGTTTCTTCTTCTTGTCGGAGTGGTGGTTCTCATTCTGGTCGTCACTGTCCTCCTCATAGCTAAATGGAAGTACATCAAATTGCGATGGCTGAAGCCCCAATTCAAGGATAGCTTCAATCTTGAACACAACAAAGTCTTGGTAAGAGCAATTATTACGTGCATCTATGAATGAACAGATACAATGATTTGTTAGTCCTGATATAATTTCCTCCGTTACGATTCAAACAAAATGGCTGCTGAATATATTTAATTTGAACCCCAATGTAATGATGGATTTTTTTAGTAGTGAATAGATAAATCGATAGAAAAGTCTATCAATATATTCATACATTTATATAATTGTTTTATCAATCGGCAACCGATGATTATGATCGAAAGATAGTTATAAATGTAACACCTATAGTTTTAGGGAACCAGCACATGAATTATTAAATAATGTAATAATTCCACAAATTAATGCCTTTGATTTATCATTATGTAACATTTACAGAAACCAGCTTTTGATCGTCAGGTGTCGTATGAGCCATGTCTTCGCCATGAGAAGGAGATCTTTGATGCCCCCTCACCAGGTGTTCACAGCCCACATGAACTTCCGCCCTGGAGTCCTAGCTTCGTCCCAAGCCCAAGATACGAACATGAGATTCCTTTGATGACGTCATTACTTCAACAAGGCTTGACCATGGTCGATGATATCGATGAAATTGACCTCGCTCAGGTGACGCATGATTACTTAGCGGAAGGTAATTCTAACTCCAAACATCCGGGTAGTGAGATCAGCTCCAAGTCGGATTCTGCTATTGATACCATGTCCTCTAGTGATGTTGAGGACGGGGATATTTCACCACCGTTGTCATCGTCTGGCGATATGTACATAGCTCACGACAATCTACAGGAACATCTGCAAGCTAATGATCCTATCAACGATTATACCCAGACTGGTGTAAGCGGATACGTTCCTCTCAGTTCCTATCTAGATTCGCCAACCGGAAGTGATAGGAAGGTTGCAAGCAACTCTCATGATGCGTCTTCGTCTGATGATTACGTTACAGAGAACATTGGTAATTATACAGTGGCAGGAGTAAGTGATAGTCCCTCGTTGCACGATTCACCAACATCCTTTGGCGACAGCGTTAAGAAGGACAATGCAGGTTTCGATCAAACCTCAGGTGTGCCACAGAACAAGCATGAACCAGGAGACAAAAGGAAAGTTCCTTGCCACCCGTCTGGTTTTCCTGGAAAAGCGCAGAAATGCGTGTCTCCTTACGTACCCCACTCTGAAGTCATGCAGTCCTCGTCGTCGTGCTCTGACAGAAGTGGTGAAGACATTGCTCACTACTCCAAGCAGACCATAGCTCCAAACCACCCCATAAACAATCAAAAGCAAACACATCCGGATCAAGGAAACGCACTAAAATATGACAAACAAGACCTGGGAAAGCAGACTAAGCATGATAGCGCGCCCTCTATGCCTGGTCTCACAAAGTCGCAGGATGAAGAAAAGGTAAAAAGCCTGCAGAGAGAGCGAGCTCATGGGTTATCAATGTCGGAGGAAATTGTTTAAATTGTTCGTTCTGAATTCCTATATGGAGAAACACTTTAAATATTTGCTCTGCAATGAAAGGAAGGAGTCCTGCCATGAACAGAGTACTGCAAGTGGAGGTCATGAACCTTGGGCATAATGGAGACCCAAGTTATTTCTTTATCCCGACGGCTATTCTGTGGTATGAATACGGGTGTCTGATTTTACATGCTATCTCTGATTTGATATTATCTTAATGATAACCTTGACACATGAATTGTAAACACATTACAATTAATCAAAGTGTCAATCAATATATCAAGGCTATAAGTAAAACAGTTCAATATACCCTCCAGTTTTGCTACACCAATGGCAATGTCACTGGACCAACTCTAGAGATTTTCCAACATAAAAGAGGAAGATAAAAACTGCATTTAGATAAATACGGTGACAAATGGGATTGGGGTCCAACGTCCCCTCTTTTTTTTTTATCAACGTCCGTGCCTTTCGTGTCCATACTTATAACGTAAAGTATAACATGATGCATAAACTGCCTATAGGCCGCATTTAAGGCTTAATCATTGCCCTAGGTATGATGCAGATATACAGAAAAGAAGTTTGTGCCTTATAAAACGGTGCCGTTAGAATGCAAGTGTGTGGTAATTTAATGTGTTTTCGTTGTAAGTATGCGATTCGAGACATTTAAACGTGCTTGCAGGTCGGCAAGAGTCAAACTTCTGTTTAGAGGCAATTTAATTTGATTTTTTGTTTTGCTTTCTCATTTTCTTCTACGTTTAGTTATTCCACTGTTAGATCAAGCGAACTCCTTGATGCCCCCTCTCTTGTATATGATTTTCTACCCATACTTCATTTCCACTTAATCCATAGGTAACCTAGAACACGAATTTATAGTGTATTGTAATTCTTATGAAGCCCTCGGACCTTTTCTACCACTTGGGGTACTGTCATGTAATTTCAACGACTTTTAAATTAGTGCCTTGCCATTATGCTTCGACAGTGCATGAAGATGAATAAAATGTCCTGAGACTTAAACGCTCTTGAAAAATTTCTTTAATTTAATCTTTCATAGAATTGATATAGAAAGTTTTTTTTTTCATTGTAAATAATTTATGTATTCCTTCTCAGAAATGTGTGTCATGGCCAGTACTAGATAATAATTATTGAAAACAAATCGACACATACGTTACCTCAGCGAATGCTTAATGCAGTTGTATCCTTTGGGTTATATAGAATAAATAATATATCATACGAACATTACTTGACTACCTAGGAAGCGGAAAAGAAATGGTTATAAGTATATTATTATTCAAATGAAAGATTACCTGTGTATTCGTGTTTGAATGAAATATTTCTAACAGTTCCTGCGTATCATGTATTAATTAAGACTGATGATTATTTACATTTTAAGAAATCACCAGGAGGGGTACATCTTTTGAATTGAAAGTTTATTTAAACAACGTGTTTTTCACACCATGCAAAACTACTCAGAACCCTACACAGGAAGCATGGCATGAACAAATATATGGTTTGTGAAACAAACATATTAGTTAAACCTCAAAATGGGACATCATTTGATTTTATAGTCAGATTGTCTATGTGCATTCGATTCGAGACCTCTAAAATATTTTCTGTGAAGTTAAATGTATAGCTTCTTTGCTACTCTCAGGTAAATATGTTGAATTCGATTGCATTCTCATTTTTTATACAAAGCAGGGATTCCGATGTGTTAAAAGTGTACATTTTATTAAAACGAAATTCTTAGAAGGTATACAAATCACAGCTTAAATGTTTAATACTAAATGTCGCGTAAGATATCTACTGTAAATAGCTATACTTGAACTAACGTGTATTTACAACCGTTCTTTAGGGTGTGGTGTAGTGAATTCATGCGGAAGATGCATTTTCTTTTGGAAGTTCGAACATCATTTTGATTTTTTTTTTTTTTTTTTACTGAGCTGCTCCTTGGACCAAAAACACATTTTCTGCCATTTTATAAAAGCTGCAAACTGATATTTGTAGGATGGATATACTTTTTACCAAAATATATTTTAGGTCCGCTGCGGTATCAATGCAAATGAATTTATTTGATAGAATTAGAAAATGATAAATGACATGAAGTTTTAGCAGCTGATGATGTGTACAAATTCCTTTCGGATATAATGTGTCGTGTCTTAATTTTTTGTACTTCGAGTTTCGTCTAGTATCTGTTGTGGTATGTACATAAATATGTAACTACAATTTTATTCTTTATATAAAAAGATATCTATATTATATTGACAGTTAGTTTTCAGTAGTATTCATCGACAAAAGTGAAACTTGTATGCATCAAGTCGAGCTGAAAATGCGACACACGGACCTAGGCAATTTAACTGCCTATTCATGTATTCATATTTATACAATGGAAGAGGTTCAGGGGAAAAATCTTTAAAAACACAATTATCTATATGGAAATAAGTATATTATATGTTGTATATAATACAATTATTTTCAGTTCATTCTAAAACAATGTATTGTAAATACTTGTCCTAGAATAAGATTATACGAAATGTGCAATTTCTAGATTTGGAAAGAGCCATATGATGTTGATATAAATTATGAGATAGGGTGATTCATTAATTGAATATATTAGGTAAACTTCACATAATAAAGGATTACTAAAAAGTAACTTTCGACTGCGTTGACTTTTTTTAAAGGATGAGTTATCAAGTGTGTGGCTTATTATACTTTCCCCTCTGATTTTCCAATACGAAGCAAGTTCTTTTATCGTAGGAGGCAAATTTTGCATATGGTTTTAGATGGAACAAGTTTTGGTGCCACGATCAAACACGTAATAGGTAAATCACTGCCATTATCATGATTATAAACGGAGGATATATAATATTCCTTCATCTTAAAATCGTATAGGCCTATCCCATTTGTGGCAGTAACTCATTAAGAGCAGATTTTTGTTTTGAAATTAGGGGAATGAGACAGGGGGTAGCCAGGAATTTAAGAAATGGGGAGGGGGGGGGGTTGCTTTTCATTTAATTCATCTTTTTCTTTTTTAAACCCCATCTTAGATGCGCCATTGACATTTAAACAGATTTTTTTCACTGAAAGGTAGGGCTTTACCTGCTAAAGAAAGGTGGAAACAAAAGGAGAAAGAGAGAGATAGATGAAGAGCGAGAGAGGGAGAGAGAGAGAGAGAGAGAGACAAAATTTCCACTAAATCACAAGGCGTGGTGATCCTCATGAGGAAGAAATGATTGATACGGTAAATATATCCAAATAAAATTTATCGTGGAAGAATATCCTACTTAATTGTTCATTTGGGAATGTTAAAACCGGGTGAGGTTAACTATGATCTTAGTTTTTTGTAGGCCTAACCGTTCCATGGAATCTCTTTTGAGTTTGACACAACCCCTTTTTTTTTACCAGGGTCAGAACGTGGTAGCGTGAAGCTAAGCATCATAGCCCAACACCTTTATCTGTGCCTTTATTTGTGCTAAGTTTTCGGCATCTCAGCCTTTCTTCGTGCACCTCTTCATCCCTAACGAATTATTACGCAGAAAATGGAACAAAACTGAACTGAAATTGAAGCAAAGTAATATTTAATTAGCAAATGTAAAGTAATTGGAATAAGAATATCAATTTAATACTCAAGAGAAACTTTTTCATTCTTGTAATTGTTACCTGTTTTAATAGGTGGTTTGTGGTTATTTTACCTGACTGCTAAGAAAGCTTAAATGCTTGTAAGTAAGCGACCAGACGGCTTTAAGTACTCTCCGAGGGACATGGTAATGAAGATTAATGCCTTACCAAAGGGCACTAGCGCATCGCCTTGGTTTCGAAACCGGGTCACCCGATTACGAGACCACTCCTCTACCGACTGAGCTATCGCGCCTCTCAGGTCAGGACGTGCAAGCGTAAAGCTAAGTTTTACGCGTAGAGTCCATGTGTTTTGGTGTTATCGAGAGATCTTGCTTGTATGATGGAACGCGTGACGTGAAGTGATTTGCGTCATTGATGTGTGTAATTGCACCATCATTTTGCGACAAACCAATATACACCGCTGAAATCAAAGCATAGATGTAGTTAAAGTAATAAATATTCGAATCGAATCGTGATAGTATATTTCATGATGGTATGATATTGCACCAATTTCAGACAATCTGGAAAAGGCACAGAAGCTCCTAAAACAAGTAGATGCTGCAACAAGCCCCAAGTCGGTCTACAAATAAACAGTACTAGGACAGAATTCTTGATGTACAACCTTCGTGAAGGCGAGATTCGTACTGCTGACAGGACAAAGTTGAAGCAGGTCCAAGACTTTCGGCACCTTTGCTTGTGGGTTTATCAGTCAAAACAAGATCTGAATATCCGAAAGGCGAAAGCCTGGACGGCTTTGAACAAGCTGACAGCCATTTGGAAATCAAAACTTGGTAGACAACTGAAAGTCCGTTTCTCAGGGCTTCAGTGGAAACTGTACTGCTCTATGGATCAGAAGCCTGGACATTGATGAATAGCCTGAAGAAAAAAACACAATTGGATAGTTGCTACACAAGACTCTTGAGACCAGCATTAAATCAACTGGAGGGGTCCCTCCAGTTGACATTTAGTGCTGGTCTCAAGAGTCTATACAACTCTATCTTTGTTATATTATGACAAAGATAGAGTTGTATAGGGACATTACACCGATCTCAGACAGACTGAGAGACCACCGCCTCCGTTTCAGTGGTCGTTGCTGGAGAAGCAAGAGTGAAATCATTTCACAAAGGCTCTTCTAGGAGCCCTCAAGGGGCAAACGCACCAGAGGGCGCCCAGCAATGACTTACATAGACCAGTTAGAAAAAGACACCTGTCTACCAAGGCAGGAACTCCCAAAGATCATGGAGAAAAGAACTCAATGGAAAACGGTTGTCAAAACAGTGCGACGCTCGACCTAGTAGTAATGTTTTACGTTGTAGCCCACGTTACATCAAATTACTGATCAGTAGTAGATGTCGACCTAATTACCCAATTAATCACGGGTGACATCACTGCACCTGTTAAATCATGCGGTAACGCTGTTTGTGCAAGATCAGCCGGTCAAGGGAAATAAAGAAGGCTCTGTAGCTAATATATCTGTTTGTATCTGTAAATGAAAATAAAAACATTGTTATTTTTATTTTCTTCTTGTCCATCTACTTGTTTTTCTTCTTCTCGTTCTTCTTCTTTATACAATTATTATTAGATATCATCATCATCATCATCATCATCATCATCATCATCATCCTTTTTTCATCGTCATTATCATTATCGTTCTTATTATATCATTGTTATTATTATTATTGATAGTATTATTGTTATCATTATCATCATTAATATCATTACTATCTTAGTTTAATCATTATTATAATTAATATTATTATTACTATTATTCGTATAGTACCGACTTTGTGCCCATTGAGATATGAAATGAAACGGATGAATTTTTCAAACAGTTGCAGTTAATAACATGGAAAATTATGCTTAATTAAAAGGATTTATTCACTTCAATCATAAGTTTGTGAACATGTATTTAACAAACTAGTCATGACTGTCTGATACAATAATACCAATAATAAAAACGGGGCTTATCAAGCGCCTTCCAACGAAGTCTCTAAGCGCTATAACAAACAAAATACAAAGATAAACAATTACATATTAAACAAAACAAGAAGTTACGAATAAACCTACAAATAACAATACATATGAAACATACATCAATGTGAACAGAGTAATTAGTTAATCATCAAAAGCAATTATTTTAAACAAATGTGTCTTGAGAAAAGATTTGAATTCTCGCTACCCCAAATAGCGATTCTGCCGAGATCCGGGGAAAATCCTGAAAACGCGCATTGCATTATGGGATAGCTTTTCGACATTACAGCTTCCTGTGCAGGCGGCGCGATAGCGCAAACGTAAAACGCCGTCGCCACACAACGTGTATGCACCGAATATGTCGTCTGCTCGGTCTTGTTTTTTTTTCGCAAATATTTCAACGTTTATTTGAACATTTCATTCGTTGTTTTTTGCGTCTTTTGACATCAGTGACGATGGTTTTCTTTTGTGAGGCTGCACAGTGCTGGGCTCATGATTCCAAGCGTAAGAACCCTGAAAAATGGGGGTGGATGAAGGCCGTGACTTGGGATGGGACTCTATACCGGAAGTTGTAGTGACGACCCGAGAGAGTGAAAATTACCTCGTCTCGCGAATTTCGAGATTTTCGTACCTATTTAGGGTAGCGAGAATTGGTTGATAGTCTGACAGTTTTTGACATGTAAAGGTAGTTTGGTACAGTGCTATTCGGTCGCAAATTCTATCAATGTATTAAAAGTAGCCAGTTTTTTTTGCTAGCTAGAAGTCAAGTTTACAAACTCCGTCAGTACTCTGCTCAACAAGTAAAGCAATGCATGGACTTTGGACTCGTACAAACAAGCCTAAGAAATTCTATCGAATATACTCATTGTGAAGCTGATTAACGTTCTTTCGTGTAATATTTTCAATGTTTACACTGCGTACCTAACTTGATAATAAGAACGCATAAAATAAATAATGAAATAAAAGTAAGAGAAAAAACTGCAGCATGTCCACGGGACCAAAATTCGACGGGAAAATATCAGGATCGGATGATATTATATCCATTATATATTTTGAAAATATTAATTTTGCTTTCAAAACAAAAAAACAATTTGCCAAAGAAAATAACTGACTGTGCCAAAATAAAATGCAGCGGAAGTTTGTATGACATGAAAGCGTGTATAAATTAATTAATTTAATTAATTAATTGTACGTGGCGTTGCTTTGATATAGATACAATTGTTATTTTTTCGTTTATTAACTAGTCTATATAGATAATTTTTACACCCACTTTCATTGCGAACAGATGAATGCCTTTCCCTCGAAACCACTCCATTAATTTCTTACTATAATAGTCTTGAGCTCAAAATGGCCGATGAGGGAATTATAATTTTGAACGAGAAGATTTCTTTGAAAAAGTGAAATTAGTTTAATATTAAGAGCACATTTATGATAATTTAACTTTCAAATGCTTTTTCATAACCAGATATAAAGAAATAATTATTCCCCCGGTCCTCTTAATTTGAGATTTGACATTGGGACAGAGAGAAACAGAGAGAAAGAGAGAGAGAGAGAAAGTGAGAGAGAAAAGAGGAAACAGGGGGGGGGGGGGGGAATCCTCCTGCCTTTCTTAAGTTCTATCAATGATATGCCAGTCACCATACAAAATCTTCAAAAAGAACATGAACCAAAAATGTTTCAGAGCTGCCCACTTCATATTCCATCATAAAATTGTGTGTTACACGTACAGGCACTAAAATCTGAGAATGTATACTACTATCTAGATCATTGAGGAATAAATCATTGTCAAAATCATTCAATAAATTGGGATAAAAATAATTATTCCACCATTATGACCAACAATGTATTTTGCACAAATCCCTTTTTCCGTTTTGATATAGTTCCTGTTATTGTCCGGTTATCTCGGTCACTTCCTTCAAACAATCCATCATTCCTTCCCTCCTCCCTCATTCACAGGATGAATGCTGACTAGTGATTTAAGAAAGGAAGGTGAAGTCTAAAGATTATTGGCTTCCGATTACAATTTGGAGGGCCGGTCACAAGACACCCATAACAATAGTGATA